AAAATGGAGAGCGAACATCCATGGATGACACTTGTAAATATTTCTAAGAATCTTTTAGGTTATTGCTAGTGAAATAATAGGTATCTAATTTTAATAAATTAAAAAATACTATAGGTAGGCGTATAAAAACTTATAATTTAGGTATTAAAAGTTTCATAAAAAAACACATTATATTTTAATCGTAGATAATATTGCACTACACTGTATTATCTACTACATTACTTACTGTATTATCTATTATGTAATGTAGCAATTTCCGACTAAAAAAATACACGTAATTGAAATAAAATGTAACTTTTTTTTTAAATAAATAATTAAGCATATATTGCTGTATTGTTATACTTATGTAACTTGTAAAATTGTAAATTATATTTAATTATTGTTTGTCGCTATTATCATAGACCGGTTTAACTACCCATAATCTATATAACGGACATGTTGGCAATTTGACATATTTTTATCAAGAAAAGAGCATATATTATTGTCTTTTAAAAGGTCGTGTTTGGATTTGGAGGTCTGGTGTTTGGATGAATGCTCATAGGTATAAGTGACATTATACGTAAAAAAAAGGTACACCAATGGCATCAAAATTTCTACTACGAAACGAAATTCGTGTAATAATTTTTAAAAATACACGCTACGTAATGGCCCCTAAGTAATAATTCGTATGCATAGATATATTTAATACGATCCATATACGAGATCCATTTAGATTTTTCCCCGGTGAGTTGGCAAGCCCGAGGCAGGTCTTCCTGAAATGTTGGGAGGCTGAAACAATAAAAACGTATCTTATCGATATGTGATGTCGAGCTTTAGCCCGCGGCATAGACCCCGATACCCGCTTTGTCAGTAAATAAAATAAAATCGTTTTTATTTAACGGAAGGTGAATCACGTGCATCTATCAATTCACATAAAGTTTAATTTACATTATGAATGTGATAGGTATTAATGTTTGTATTTAATAAGTACGTATTTATTTCATTATATTATGTATTATATAAGCTGTTAAATATCCACTGCCTGAATATAGGCTTTCCCCTTAAGGTAGTTTCTGCTGCCCATTCCTCGACTACTGAGTATATATACTAATATGAATATTATTTCTTTCTAATGATGGCAGGAGTAAAAGTAAAAAAAATTATAGAAGTCGTGTACAAAAATCTTGGATATGAATATGTAAAAGACTTAAGACATTGACTTATACACGATGAAAAGAGTTATTAATTATTAACTTTATTAACTTGTTTACACGTAACGAAACTTTTAATTTTATAATGCAAGTTTTAGCGTCACAGAATCCTAACTAGTTTGTTATCTGTTGTCTTCAAAACTAGTTTAACACAACTAATTTTATGTTGTAAACGAATGTGAAAATAATGTCCAGAAAGATTTCATACTGCCGGGTTATTTTGGTTATTGATTTAATAACATTAAATTCCAAACATTATGGCACAGGTAATTGTATAATATATGTATAAACTGTATAATTGTAGTATCAAAACTAGTTCCTCAACAAAAAAAAAAAAAATGTTCACGACCATAATCCTCAATAGAGTAGTTAAGGGTAGTTTTTGTCTGTTGTCGATATTGTAACATTCTCTATGTTACAATTAGACGTGACCATTTGCTGAATATATTAAAATACAATGTGACATAGATAGATTATCGGTGTATTTCATCGTTGGAGAGTAAGTATGGAAAATATACACATTATTTTTTTGTGTGTGAATTTGTTGGTAAAACTTGACTATGAATTTACACTACAACAATATAAGCAAAATAATAATAATTAATAATATTAATTAATAATAATAATTAATATTTATTTATTTGACAGCAAGCAGCAGCAGGAGACAAATTCATTTCGTAATGTAAATTCTGCATAAAAGTTGCTAATATAGGTACTTCCGTTTCCTGTGGTACAATCTACGTATTTCATTTATAATCAACTGTAGTATAAAGAGCTGAATTCGAATATATTTATTTTTTGTATTTGTATGAACTTTTCGTAAATTTAAAAACCAATTTCAAATTATTATTTTGTTAAAATATTTCAAAGATGTATTTTTATTTATTTCTATAGTCATGCATATTTTGTTAAAACTGTTTTTTTTAATATCAAACTTTTAAAACATAAAATCCACGCCATAAACTTATATTAACACAAAAATCTCAGCCATAAACGAAAAAAATTCTAATTAATATTAGGATCATCTAAAAAATATTATTACTTTGTTTCGAATATATGCTTTTGACTTACAAGCCATTGGTACAACAATAGTTATGGATAAAATAATAATGGTTATTTTTCTATGCAATGATCTTATTCACTCTAATGGGAGACAAACGTGAACGATATGTATGTATGTACATGGTCTTATTCATATTTTCCTCCACAATTTACAGAATATGCAATCATCAAAGTTATTTCTGACTGACAAAAATTACTTAAATTGATTTATGAAAACGAACCACAAAATAGGTATTTGTCATAATCATGAAATACTTGCAATGCTATTGAAGCATTCATACGGCAAAATTTGAAATTGAAAATGAACTGATGCAAAGGCGGGTGTTTGGCCACAGCTTTTTAATACTGCAAAATAGGATAGTCGTATGATGTTTGTAAAATATAGAGGCTCCGGTGTTCACCAAAAAGGGAATCATAAGCCCGACGCCTGCTAGATGCGAATCAAAGCTCGACATAATGAGGAAAGTCTATTCACTGAATTGCACAGAGTTATATTTACTGGATAAGTCGCTTAATCTTTATTTTTTCTTTCATTTCAATTCATAATAATTGAAAGTAGGGAAAAAGGTCATGATAACAGTAACAGAATTTGACTGTGATTAATATTTATTTATTTATTATGTATTGAGATACTATCTGAATATATTAATGGATAAATAATTATGTCTATCACTTACCTATTATCCATAATTTAATTCACTTTTTATCCATTGAGTGGCCTGAATGAGATAAAACAAATATAATGATTACTTTTAATTAAAAGACAGTTTTTTAGCAACAAGTTCAAAGGAGTTACTGAATTTTCCTGTCACCCGATCCGAACCGATTTTACGATTATTTTTTAAATAAATAGTGCGTTAATCGTACTTAAATTAGTTTTGTAACGACTAAAGTCGTATGTTTTTAGAACTCAATTCTAAATTATATTAATTTCTCAGTTCTTTTCTGTCTAACTCAATATTCTGAAAAATACTTGATCAAATCTTAGCTACAAAAGTAATCTACCCATTATGAGTTACCTCAGATACCACTATGTGATTTAGTAATCTTCTTCTCATCTATTTTACTTTCAAGCTTTAAGAAAGTAAACTTCGTCTCTTCTAGTAGCTCTATAATCTACGGTCATCTAGTTTGTTTGAGGAGCGGGCGGCTGACCGCGGCTGAGGGGCGGCGGCACGGGGCCGGCAATCAGCTAACCGGATCACCTCGCAAACACAATTGATAGCATCACGCCACGGTGCGACGCATGTGGAAAATTGCACCTATATGTAAGTACCCATCTAATTGCATTACGGGATGCATATAGAGCTATTTAATTTCCTGTGTTAGGTCCAATGCACCGTATCATCAGGATATTGGAACAAAAACAAGCTTACACGTGCTGGAGTATTATGTGAATCGCCCGTATATTGTATTATATGGGATTATATTTAGCTCAGTTTTAAAACAAAAGCTTTTATCATGTTAAAACATACCGATGTATGACTAACATATCTTGTTATTTTGTGTATATATTAAGATAAAAATATTTTCATTTAGAACACGATATTTTGTGTCTGAATCTAACCTTTGCCTTATTACAGGTAATTTTATGCCTCGAAAAAATAAACTGCAGTTCCAAATTGTCTCAAAATTAATGTCACTAGGAGCGGAGTAATCTGAAACGAATGTAAAAGAAAACAAAAATTAGTATAGCTTCTTTTTTATATATATGAAATTGAAATATTATTATTATACATGTAAATAATAACACAGGTTGCGTTAAATTTGTTGGCCGATAGTGACGAATTCGGTAGAAATTAATCACACATTGATTTCCAAGGAAAACTGCATGAAAATCATGGTGATTACTGGCAATGAAGTTACTAGTAAATTTTACAAATATTGAAAATAAAGTATTCTTGAATATTTTTGTAGTGCTATGTAGGATAAACGTAGTGATTTATGCTGCTGTAACGTGATCTATGATGAAAATCGATTTCACATTATATCTATATATTCGTCAGTGCACTACAGATCTTATAAACTATGTTAAATCTGAATAATACCAGAGACTTTGTACAAAAGTCAATGATTTGGGTACCTCTGTCCCATTCGTGTTTCAACCGTGAAGCAGTTGTGTTTGCATGGCTGTGTTTCGGTTTGAAGGGCGGGATATGTCGTAAATTTACAGGGTACAGAGGAATAACATCTGAATCCTTAGGAATGGCAACACATGGGGGGTATCGTAGGCGAAATAGTATACCCTATTATGTCCATGGTACTACTCATGTCTATAGGCAACGGTTACCACTTTCCATCAGGTGGGCCGTCAGCTTGTTTGCCATTCTAAGTTGTATAAAAAAAATACATTAGTGGCATAAAACCATGCGGTCAGCCCTATGTTAAGTTGCTAACGATAACAAATGGACGACAATAACATGCGCGTTGTTGACTCTTTATAAATAATGTTCTATATAAAATTATTCACTTGCACCTATTGGTGTTGCTTTATGCAGTATTATAGTTGTTTTTGCTACCTAAGTGTTTATAAATATTTACAACATCTGCATTGCACATTGAATCTGTACAATGTAAACATATTCAAATTGTATCAATGTTTAAAATGTTCCATTAAAATGCCATAGCTCCACTGCGATCATTGCAGAATATTATATATACCATAAATTTTGGTTATTAATAAAATACAGTTTTAATTTCTCAGAATCATCTCTTTATCTCAATATTTCTACTTACATATGTACATTAGGTATGATTATAATACCGCCGTTGACATAAACTGTATGTGTACATAATATTTTATCGAATAAATATCATTTACATTATTTACAAATTAGTACAATGTCTTTCATAACACTGTTTATAGTAATCAGTCATTTTTCATGAATATTAAATATTTTTACAAATCGTTTTAAAATTTTAATCATTACTCTATATTGTAGATGAATTCAATACAAAATTATTTGTATTTATTGATAAGCTTGAACACATTTGCAATAAAGTAACAATTTTCTATTAAATATTTACACGTTTAACGCTAATCTACGTTGTCAATTCCAATCTATATCTCTAACAATAAATATATTTTATAAATTAATCTAATATCTGTTACCTATACTATTTACAAGCTCATTGTTTTATCACATTTCAACAACACCGCTCATAGAGGCGGATATTAAAATTAAATCGAACACTAACAATACTAATGTCAATATGGCCGCCACACTGATTTATGCGTTCCTATCGTCCCATTTGTGATTTTAGTTGACGTTGGACTCGTAGATAACACACGCGTTGTTCGCTGTGAAGGGGATTTTAGTTCATTTCGGATTCGTGGCTGGTCAAATACGGTCGAATCAGCCGGCTGTACTCTCTTCATTTCTTGAAGCTCAACATTCGCAGGTCTCGTCGGATGAAAAGCTGATTTTACAACCTCGATCGTTTCCTCGTCAGATTCGTCAGAAATAGTCGCATCATGCACTGAGTTATTTTCCGATTTAGAATCCGCTTTTGATCTATTTGGACTTACATTTCCCATACTCCGTGGACTGCTTTGTCTACTACTAGTAGGCGATAGACGAGCACTCGATGTGTCCATTGAAGAGACATTACTTTGGAGTTGCCTTAAAGCATCGTAATGCAACATTCCATTCTTCAACGATAATTCGGGAGGTAATGATTTTAACGCTAGCTCTGCAGGATGTGGTGGAAAGGGTAGAAGCCCATTTGGTGGCAAAAATGCACCGGGAGGTGGTAATAGTCCTCCAGGTGGTAAGCTAGCCATAGCTTGTGGAAACGGGAATAACTCAGATCCAGCAAGCGTGACTGGAGGTGTCGTTATTGGTGTCACGCCACCTGTTGACAAAAAAAATAATTAATTACTGTTTTTATGAATATAACATTCTGCTTCTTGCTATCACTATCAATACTTGATTGGCCAACATGACGTAATATGAGAGACGAGCCCCTGGGGACAGACCGAGGCTCGCGCGCACTTCGTTGATTCCCTGAACAACGAGGGTGCATAATCGTAGTAAGGATAATGTACAATCTGTAGGCGTTTAAAGGCGGCTTCCCCGAAAGGGATGTTTTTTTAGTACGATATTGGGAGGGTGAGGGTGCAATATTTATTTATCCGAACATGACGTCGTTCTTTACGATGCAGACACGACATTCCGCCATAATTCGGTGTACACGTCTCCTTTCTGCGTTCGAGTAGCGCTGAACATGTGAGGATACATTAGAAATGCAGGGCACGCGTAAAGCCGTTGCAACGGACACGTGTGTTCCACAAAGCCGGCTCTATCGCGATAAGGAAGCAGAGTTATCTCAGTATGAAGCGGACAAAGAGAGTTCGCAACGTGAAATTTTCATTAGCAATAGTGTTCAAAAAGTTCTTGTCGTGCAGCTTTGATTCTCGATAGCGTGTGTAAGAGAAGCTAGCGCATAAAAAGGACACGATGGAGGTGCAGATTGGGCCACAAAGAGCTCGGAGGTGGTGCAACGTACGTTCCCGTTTTGTACTTTTTCTGTTTGCAGCAGTGGCAGTGCGCAGACCACTTTAAAAGGCAGCGAGGGTGGGAAGGGACGTAACTAGGGGGTAATTTAGTGAGGTGGGGGCCAATATCGGCGTCGCGCCTGATTGAGGTGATCCCCGACCTTTAAATTTGGTTTTGTTTCACTTTGGTCATTATTTTTAATTAGTAATTGATGAACAAGTAACAAATAACATTATATTTTTGTTTATTAAACATTTTAACTATTTATTTTTTACAACAATTATTGATTCCTAAATCATATTTCAAAAATTGCAGTGATATCAAGAATTTATTCATAATTATTGCCGTTAAAATAAAAAAAAAAAAAACTGACTAGTGCAATGACTCTATGGGAGTCGCTTAGCGTAAATAAGGTTCAGTATTCAATTCTCAGCCGGAACAATTTAAGATTTGAAAATTTTTATATTAGCTTAGGCTGTGTATTCTGAATTATATCTCCTCATGTATGTTTCATATTCAATTTTATTCAAGGTTTCATGTAAAATACGTTGAGTTTCAAGTAATTTGGTGTCATTTTATTACACTTATTTTTATTAGGTGTATGTTTCCCGTATTAATATGTATTATCCGTAGATATGAGATGAGTTATGAAAATGGACAAAGTAAGGCATGTATTTACATATGTGAGATTAGAAGTTGCATTTGGTTCTTTCTTTCTGCTTTATGAGAAATCTAGCACACCTAAACGTATAGTACAATTGTACTTTACGTTAATTAATCTCACTAATATTATAAATATAAATGTTTAGACGTTTATTACTCAAACACATTTGGACAACCGAACCACAAAGTTGAGTACGCAGATCTCTCAGATTAATATAATTATAGGATACTTTACATACTACACCAAAGTAGCAAAGCTGAATACGGCTAGTATTAAATAAACTAGATTTTGAATATGTCTGAGCGAGATAACATATGCTGGGGGGTTTAATAAAAGTCGATAGCCGTTTGAGTAGGAGTACAACGCTCCTCGCGTTTCAACGACGGAAACAAAAAGTGGTTGGTGGCGCGGTCGCCAGCATCGGAATAAAATTGACTCCACACTCTCTCGAACGTGAAGGCAGTGCTTTTTTAAACGTTTTGTGTCCTCCCCCCACTTCGCCCGATAGCGGACTTCAGCGGGTGGTTATGCTTCGGTCGGGGCGGTGTTGTTTTTCAGCGCTCAAGAGGTGCTTCTTTTATTTCTGTAGCTTTTCGTTGTACGGCCTTGAAGGGTTGGCTCAGTTGCAGGCTACGTGTTTTCGAGTGTTTGCCAGGTCGGGAATTTTTAAATTAGCAAATACCAAATTGATCCGCTTATTGTGGAATGTCAGAAAGTAGTACTTGCATTATGAACGAAAGAATTGTTAGCCTTGTGTATTCCTTCCAGTTACTGGTTTTTTTTTCAGTTGATGATAATGAAATAGTAACACCGCCTGCGCTGATAGAGTACCAGTTGGAAGAAGGATGATAGGTGAGGATGAAAAAGCAGGTCAGTTAGCTGATTGGGACCAATATTCTAGCATTTATTCATGATGGTTTCCAGAGGGAACCGCGTGGAGGTCGACCCTATAGAGTATATAACTAGTTGCTAGTCCCCATTACTAACAATCCTTTCTCCCCTTTAGTTACTTGTTATTATTATCACTTCTACGTGTACAATGTAGGTGGTCTAGAAAATATTAATACAAAAAAGTAAATTTTTTTTGTGCACATACCTATACATTATGCAAAAAAAATTTCATTTCTAAACTTATTTCTTATTTTTTTTTACAATTGATAAGATTTAGTCTATTATTTGTCCTGAAACATTATGTGTGTATAAATATTTATAACGTTTATTAGAATAACTAAAGGTAGTTAACGTCACAGAATAGCGAAATATCGGAAGGTATGTATTATAAAAAAAAGGTGAAGCAATAAACAACTATACCTTTAACAAGCGAAGGGTTTTGTTCCCTCATCTGTGGTGGTCTAAAGTAATCTACCCAAGCGTAATTAAGATATGCAGCATCCAACCATCCAGGGTTGAGAAGAAACGGACTAAACGCTCCTGGGTGACCATAACCATAATCTGTAACAAAAGAAAAGCATATACAGTTTTATTTTAAATTTACATAATTATTTCCGCAACGTAATAGTAAAATGCGGACAAATCATTTGTATTAAAGCAGTGATAGAAGGAGCGGGGTCGCTGTCGTCTTAAGCCACGTCCGCAAGTACTAAACTCACAAAGGCGGACCATAAAGGCGGCGACACACGGCCCGCGTACTGTTTACCACGTCTATATCAAGGGGTCTGTATACAAAACGATCCGGTTTACTACTGCAGTTAGTCGGCTTCTCTGTGCCATACGTTTTTATGACGCTCTACCGTCATGTTGCCTTTCGCCTTTCAACCGGCGAAACGTTTTTTTATTTGTTTAATCGATAGCCTACTGAGACGCCACCGCTGCGTCTATTTTCGTGTTTTATAGACATTTTTAATCGAATCGCGAGTTATCTCAATCGATCAGGTATATCGAATTTTATTACGAGATTAAACCGTTTACGAGCACTTTGTCTACTTTGTTTTTAACTTGTAAACATTTTGTTAAGCTCTTTATCCGAAAATGCTCGCGATTGTTTCAAGTAGTTTAATTTTAGAGGGAATTCTAAACACGTGCACAACGGGGCCGGCAGTGTTTTGTTTGCACGTAGATAATCAGATGTTGACTTGACGTTTTTATTGCATGCTAAAAGTAGTATGTATATTAAACAATTACTGTGTAAACACAAACACAACCCGTCCGCATCTGAGAGATTAGCGAGTTTCGTGAGAGCGTTTCCCAAATCGCGGGTATTTTAAATTAAGAACGTGATGGATGGCCCGTCGCGCTGTCACGCGGCAATCCCGTTGAAGAACGTTACGGCATCATGGTACAATAATAAGTTAAATGTGAAACTCGGAAATGGCCCGCTCCATTTGTTAATGCCAGTATTCAATTAAATTCAGTTCTCCGACCCTTCGCATATGCGGGGCTCTGAATATTAACAGGGTTGCAGAGATGTCTAATGTTGAAATGTGGAACATGATACTTCTGTTAGTCTCCTTTCTACCCACTTAGAAAGTTCCTTCGTGGGTGAACTCACGTAGGTATTATCATGTAATTCATTGAAAAATAAATGGATCACATCAAATGACGTGTCGTTGTCAAAAATGAAACATTTTTATAAATATATTTGATAAATAGACACAATAGTTTTACTTTAAAATATCTTATATACCTACTTACTATAATTACGTAGGTTTAATAAGCAAAGTCCCTAGATATGCTAATTGACTTGAATTTAAATCAATTTATATCCCATAAGTTGTGCCCTTATTTTTCTTTTGTTACGATGACAGCTATTTAGTTTCATTATGATACGTCCTGAACCAAAGTAATTGCAGCCAGCCGCTTCGGTCGCATCGTCCTCCTGTTTTATTGTATCTGGTCGCGCTTTACTTTACGACACGTCTGATCTATTTCGGTCTCACATAATGGGTTAAGAATGCTCAAATCAAAAGCCATCGCGACCAATTCGGGACCGCTGGTACAATAAACGAATGAGTGATACGACTTATAAGTGTCAAAATGAGCATTAAATATCTGGAGAGCTAACAACGGGTTGTCATACATAAATTAATGTGGACGAGACAGGCGCGTATTAAATAAATGGATTCAGAATTATGGCTCATAAGACGGACGAGTGGCGACGGTGTCCCATAACAGACACCGCATTGTCTTATGTGTTTGATCAGTAGTCATGTTAATTTATGACCATGTTTATTGAGAAATGTTCTATATTATATGGGATATTATAGTGTAAATTTTATTTGTCATTTGTAATAAAACTATTGTAATTTTATTACCTATTATCTGCTAAATATAATTTAATAACTAAACAAATACTTTAGCCGTTTCTCTACAGAAGAGATATGAGATGAATTAAAGTATTTATTAAAACAATCCCACTATAAATGTATCCTTTTTCAAGTCTAAGAATCGTCACGTCTTTAAAGTTTTGTCAATTAAAATTATGTTAACGAAGACAGCTAGTTGGCAAATGATTTTTTTTTATACAACTTTGAATTGCCATTCTAGAGGCTGATGGCCCACCTGATGGAATGTGGTAACCGTCGCCTATAGACATGAGCAGTACCGTGGACTTCTTATATCATTGTTGATAATATATTAGTTTGAATTGGATAAAATGGAAATAAAGTTAGTAACTTTTTAAAGAAGACTGAATGGTTGAAATAAAGACATTCCTGACTTTTTTTTAATATAGTTGAAGACATCGGGTTTGCGGAGCAAATTTCAAAATTATTGAATTAATTTACCTAAGAATATATACAACTTCTTAGTTGCCAGTATATTAGAATAATCCGAACGGGTGGTAATGAGGGTTTGGATGTGGTATTTTACCAGCAAGCAGGGACATAAAATCCATATTTTAGAGGCAGCGGCCGTGGCGAGCGGGGGCGGGGAGATCAAACGGGACTTTACGACCCGAGATTGTTTACATCTGGTACGCGGCCGTGGCTAAACCATGAAACTTGGTAACCGCTGGATCTGCAAGTGCCGCATATTAAATGCGCCGATTGTTTCATTTGCGCAAACTTTCTGAAACTTGGCGAAGGTTAATTAAGTTGTCAGCTTACTCGTGGTGTGAGTAAAGATGTGAGTAAAGTTTATACTATGTAGTGTATATTATAGGTATGGGATAGTTTGTCATGTAGTGAAATACATGATAAACTAATCCATAATCGATGAAAATAAATGAATGAAATGGATCACGTTAAAAATTAAATCTATAAAATAATTAATTATACTGTACCTATATTCTATAATTCTAGATAATATTATTCAAGTCAAATAATAGTAATAGTTATAAATTCATTAAAAAAACATTATTATTACTGGTAGAGCAGAATAGAGGTAATAATAAAATAGAGGTAACAATACAGGTTAGGTCCACTCTACTTGTCTATGAAGTTTTACAAAACTAATGTACAGTACATAAGTCTCACAGAATTGACCTAATTATAACAATTTTAAACAATACCTATATGTACATAATAATTGTAACCCATATTTATTATTATAAATTATGTCTTATGTGTCATATGGTATATCCGTTGAAGCGTATTTCGCACGGTTAGATAGAATTTTCTAAAACAAAATATAGCCTATGTTACTCGACAATAAAGTTGCTTTTTATAAGTGAAAGAATATTTAAAGTCGGTTGAGTAGTTTTTAAATCTATCCATTACAAATAAACAAACAATCTAAATTTTAGTCTTTATAATATTACTATAGATAAAGATCTCAACCCTATAATACTATAGTTAGAAGTTATATTATATATAAATCATGTAACATATACGTTATATACAATTTCCTAGTATGTTACTTCACTTTTATTTTCTCCTACTGTAATCAATTTATCTGTGTAACTACGTCTCTTTCACTTCACAATAATTATTACGCCGTCCGTCATTAAGCTGCGACTCCATTGATCGCTTTATTAACACGGACTCTTTGAAGTTTATCGTCCGAGGATGTTAGTTTTTCCGCATACTGTCTTTTTATTATTGGCCGAAGTTTGGACCGACTGTTTACACAAGCGCTCGGTGCGCCCGTAATATCCAAAATAGATTTGTGGTGTCAAAATATTATGAATTCTGTTTAATTCATTTAGTAGGCAGATACAGTATTATTAAGGTGAGGTAAGTATTAATTTTTTATTGGGAAAGATTTTCGTCAGTATTTACTTTTTTTTTTGATAATGTTGTATATGTTTAAAAACTGTAACATTAATTTATTCATTATTTGGTTAATTCGTGGCATTCTTTTAAGCTTCAACCTAGTTATTTTTATCTATAAAAATATATTTAGATATAATTTTATTTGTTATATAAATTATTATGTTGTTTTAAAACTGAAGTTAACAGCCAACTGTCGAGTATAATCTGGGAACCATAATAGTTAATTCTAGTCGAATTCGTTATGAAAGGCCAACTGACTTGCATTAATTCTCAACTATCATCCTTCACGGGCACCTTGTCAGTGTATACTGATAATGCAGGGTGGGGGGAGGGGGGGTTACCATTCCATTATCACCTATAAAAAATTGTCTACTTATTAATATACCAATATATACATAATTATATATATACAAAATATAAAAAAAGCACAGTTAGATGCCATTTTAATTTTTTTTAATATAATATATTCGTTATTTTTTGAGGTATTCCTCTCTAATTTTAACTCGGATGAATCAAACAATAATAGATAATACTATTTACTAGTATAAACCTATAAAAATAATAAAACACCTGAGTCCTCAGGAATGGCAACGCATGGGAGGTATCATGGGCGAAACAGTATACTCTGTTATGTCCATGGTACTGCTCATGTCTATAGGCGACGGTTACCACTTTCCATCAGGTAGGCCGTCAGCTTGTTTGCCATTCTAAGTGGTATAAAAAAAAATGTACATAACAACTTTATTAATCGATTACAGCCTACATATTACATATTATCGCCTACAGACATGAGCAGTACCATGGACATAACAGAGTATACTGTTTCGCCCATAATAACTCCCATGCGTTGCCATTCCTGAGGACCCAGATATTATTCCTCTGTACCCTGTAAATTCACGCCATATTCCACCCTTCAAACCGAAACACTGCCATGCAAACACAACTGCTTTACGGTTGAGACACGAATGGGACAGAGGTACCCAAGCAAACGACTTCAACATTATACGCAGAAACATACACAAAGCATGTATAAATAAATACAAACAAGACGTTTAAAAGCTTACAAGCGTCCATATATAAGTTTCACGTCAAAACAGATTTCACTTAACGGTGATCGACCGAGGAGACAAGAGTAGTGCCTACGAGAAGTTATTTTTGTTTGGATGCTGTTAACGCTAATTCCTCGAGTAGTTGAAGATTAAATGGAGTAGCAATTAATGTCTTCGTGATTGACTGTTTCTCACGTCCACACACGCCAGATGTTAATTTCGGACGAAAGAGTTTCATCTGCATTGTTATTGGTTTTTTATTAGATTTCTTCTCCCGCGGCTGCGTGATTTGGAGTAATGTATTCGAAAGTCTTGTTATACATAATTTGTATAAATACTTTCCTTTAAATCAACTCAAACTCTCATTATAGTATTCAATATTTAATAGTCAAATTTTAGATAATGACAGCATTTACTTCAAAATTATATGCCCAATTCCTGCTACTGTAAAATAATGTGGGAACTACTATAGGATACTACTTCTATATTTTAGTCAATTGTGATTTTTAGTTTTTATATCATGAATTTTTCATAACGCTATATTTTTTATTCCTAGTGTTTACACTTCTTTTTTCTATCTGTGGTATATTTGCAATCCTTAGTGAACCTGTATAAAAGGGCCAATGAATAAATTCAATAGTTAATATTTGCATGCCATTTGATGTGGCAAAACATAATGGACATCTTATAAACTTCACAAATGCAACACCTTTTCTACAATGTTTCTAGCAAATAAATTTCATTTCATTTCATTTCACTTGCATACTACACAATTTATTTCATATCTTTCAATAACTTACTAGCGCTTACTATATTATATACAAACTAGTAATATTTGATTTGCTAATTCTTTTTAATGACTTAATCATTAAAAAGAATTAGCAAAACAGCTGCTCTAGACACTAAAAATTCAGCTAGAAAGATATAAACTTCAATACCTTACATATCAGTTACTGGATTATTATTATTTTGTTTATTTTTATTACGAGTATCATTAATTAGTATTATTATATGTATATGTTTATTTCGCATATTATGTGTATGTTTATATTAGTCTAAATTATATGTTTATAATATAGGAATATATGAAGTATTATTACGTTAGGTTTCTTCGATTCATGAATGCATCGCCTACTTATTTCTCTATTTGCCTAATGGTTGGCTGGTAGAGAACACCGCAAGGTCTTAAGTCTACCAAATGTACATAGAGATCCACTATGTATTAAAATTTAAATAAATAAAATTAATTAGTATATACCGATAACATTTTGTAAAACCGATCACCACTGGTAGCAGCTCTTATGACCTTTGTTATCAGTGATTTTTTGATCGCTGATAATGAATGTTATTAAGTTTATTGTGATATACAATGCGTTTTGTTTCTAAATGAGGCGTTATCACTACTTACCTGTAATACAGAATAGATAATAATAGCTTTAGGTATTTTTTTATATGGATATAGTTAAAAAGATACATCTGCCTTTGTAATTGGTACAACAATAGCAGGGCATCATCAAAGGATATAACAATGGTACGAAGTCAGGCCAGTTTGGCGAATTACTAGTAACTAACCACTGTAGTTTCCGGATCTCATAAAAGTCGACTAGACAGAGTATTTTACAATACCACCCAACAAAGGAGTTTAGAATTGTAATGAGGTTAAACATTCCCATTGACAACAATATACCTTGATCTCTGCGTTGTCTCCTCTGGAAACTTCCTAATGAATTCCTTACATGGGTCAAATGACCTAACTTCATCCTCACCTATTATTATATCATTCACTGATACTCCACCAGCGTATGCCAATAGTGTAGATGGTGATATTTAATTTAATTTAATTTATTTATTGCATACTACAATATTATTATAAAAAATCTTAATAATTAATAAAGTATATATAAAAAGTATAAGTCTAATTGCTGTGCCCGATAGGGTACTATAACCCTATCGGGCACAGCAATTAGACGCGAATATTCTTGTATTTTATTATCATCCTATTAAAAAATGCTTAATCTACATTAATAGCATATTAAGCACAGGTAAATATAATACTATACTAGGCAATAGGTACTATAATACTGAAATGTATACGATGAAAGGAATACCAATTTATTTATTTATTTCTTACCACAGACAATTAAGGACTTAAAGGGGGGAAAGGGATTGTTAGCAATGGAGTTTGACAGCCCTATTGCTAGCAATATGCCTTATTAGGTCGACCTCCACGTGGTTCCTCCTGGAAACCATCGTGAACAATTGTCAGAAATGATATATCAGAATAAAAGCAGGTCAGTTAGCCCATCATGAAAAATTTCATAAGAATAATCCATGATAGTTTCCAGGAGCAGTGTGGAGGTCGACGAGATAGTGTATATTTCTTACAATGGGGTTGTTAGATCCCATTACTAATAGTTCCTTCCCCCCTCTACACTACGACTATAATATTATTCCGGTTGTGTGTAATATTATTGAATTCTTTCTCAAAAGTATTAGCCAACAATAAAACTATTTCGAATGTGGTTAAATGCCGTGGTGCCGCAAAATCGACCTCGGGACTGCGGACTGGCCGTGAGCCAAGCGCCGCGCGCGCATCCTCACATTCATACATATACATGAATATCGCGCGCACATGAATTACTCAGACAATTATTTTTTTTATTGTCTCACAATGATTATATTGGAACAAACATCTGTTGAAACATTTCATTTTCTATTCGACAGAGTTTGAATTGTGATTATTTTGGTGAGCCGTTAGTTTATAACTTTTTGAAATCATAATAATGAGAATTGAAACAATATAATCGAGTACAAACAAAATATATCTGAGCTCTAATCTATTTGATGTAGTGCATGCAGATTATTTCACGTGGAATAGACAATTATATTATTTTATAAATAACTTAAGCATAAATATAAGTCAATATAAGTCAAACATAAGATAAGTCATATAATATATAAATAAAAAATACACAAAAAAAATTTATTGTATAATATTGAAATTTGTCGAACATTTAAAGATTGTATTAATACTGTAACGAACTGTGTGAAATTTATGCACTCACTTTGCTTAGTCCGAGGTTCTCTTGGTCCGTCCACAGTGACTTTGATAGCTTTAGTGTAAGTGGCAACTTGTGATGGGAACGTGCTGATGGTGATGGTCAGCGAGAAAGACTTCCCTCGTCCGCTACGACCCACAAACCGAAGGTCATTAAACTTCGCCACTTGGTTCTTCATTACCGCAGTACAGTTTCTTAGTTCTGCCATCACATTCTCGTCATTGCCAGCCTTTATTGTCACTAGCGTTCCATCCTGAACATCATCCAGAGCCACAACTTTGAAGGCCACTGGCAGCGATTTGTTCGATCTCCAATGACCAGGAAGGGCCGAGCACAACACAGCCGGGGAGCCGGTTTGTACCAGCTCACCATGACTTTGCCGGTAGTACTCGTGAATATGGGAGTATACATCCGCCATGGTGGGGGCCGGTGGGCTCGCGTGCGGTAGGTGCATCGACTCCAGTCTACCCACAACAACCGCACCGACTCTCGACACGCCACTGAAGCCCTATGTCACGCCACTTTTGTCTCTGTACACTTCGGGGAAAAGTTTCGAACACGCGATCGAATTTCAAACTCGCGGCACCGAGCGGGGAGCGCTCAGAAAAGTTGTGCAAAGTACGAACGCGAGACAGCGTGTGAGCCGTGAGCGATCGTCTACGCCACTTGTTGGGCGCGGACGGCAAGACGCCGGGCGGGGGCTTGGAAAAATAAGCGGGCGGCTTGTGTGACTCGCCGAGACCGCAGCCGAAGACTCACGATGCGCACCGAAGTCACGGCGAAGGGTCGCGTGCTCACGGGGACTCGTTTTCGACTGATGACTGTGATACGACGCGACTTTTTCCGATGGTCAATATTTTGCGTTCGCGCGGTCGCCGCCCCCACCCGGGTGGCGGCCCCTACGTCTCGTAAAAAGCGGGAAGGAGACGAAGGGTGCGGGTAGCGTGGTGAAGCGGCGGGAACGAGCGGGACGGTCGCGGTCGGTGTCTGCGTTTTTATAAAAATGCTGGTCGGAGTGGGACGCCGCCGCACCTCGCCCGTTAGTGGGAGAGGGATGGGTGATTTTTTTTTAATCACCGCGGTGACGTATCGTGAGGCGGCGGTAATTAGGCCGCGGGGCGGCGGGAAACCGCGGTCGGTGCGAAAACCTATCAACGAGCTCATGAAAAATTATGATTTTCGTGTTTGAAAGCAGCGGGAGCACCGCACTCACTCGATGGCACTTCATTTCGTCACGAGCACGCGAAGAATTCCAACTATGGGGGCATACTCCACTCACACTTTTAATCACCATTTTTCATACCCTATATTTTATTCAGTAAATACCTACATAATATTTGAATTTAGATATGTTTTAGTTACATTCTTATATCCAATATTTATATAGTATATAACAATTACTTGTCCAGCTGATATATATTTATGTTTCAATTATACATATATATTTTGTAATGTAAAAGTTTGTTTGGCTGCTTGTTACTTCTATTACAAGTAGACAATATTCAAAATTACAAACACTTATTTGTATATGCAGATTACCTTTAAAGCTAATTTATGTGGGTATAGCTACGAGTTCCTGCTAATATTAAATAGTAAATTTTATTATACTTTGTATCGTGACATTAATTTAATTTTGTTAAAAATAAATACATGGTAAAAAAGAAATAAAATAAATAAATTACTTTTATTTTTAAATACATAATAAATTTTTAATTTATATATATATACGAAAAGTATATGTCATTAATGTATATAATACAGGTAAATAAAAGTTGCCAAATTTAAAGTTATTTCGTAAAACTATTTTATTTAATAAATCATGTGTTTGACAACATATGTTTTGACAAACTATAATGAAAAAAGTTATATTCTTTTTATGAAATGAGTCACAGAGAGAATTATTTAATTAATCAAATCTCACATATGCCGGTCGCGGATTCTAAACAATATTTTATCGGAAAACAAATAGAAAAATTCACACTAAACAAAGAGTTTGATATCCGTCGCGTCGGCGTGCGGTTAGCCGCCGATGTGTGGAGTGAGCGGAACAGACTGTATGCTAGAGTGAAATGGATATAAGCAGGAGGCGGGACGGCGGGCGGGGCGTATGAAAAACTTTGTAGAACTTTGTAGAGACTTTCCCGCGTTTTTCGTAACACGTAACGCAAAATGATCTGTAACCGCTTTAATCTATCAGGTTCATAAGTTATTATGTAATACAATATTTGTTTTAATACATAAAATAAATACTTTTGAATTTTTTTAAAGCATATTCTATTTATTTTAAAACATATTACAGAATTGAAATATAGTTTTCTTAATTTCACATAGCACGCATTACATGGAATAAAATAAATATTTCTACGATATAACTAATAACATCGGACAGGCGTGAATCTGAAGTCGGAATAATACTAACTTAATAGAATCTAGAATTAAGTATCTATCTTTATTATTAAACTAGATTTGCACGGGTAGAGAGGTACATTTCAATTAAAATAAAATACTTCCCATATTATTTCCTGATAATGTAGCTTTCTAGAAGTGACGAATTTTTAACCAATTAAGTATTTTTTGAATTTACTTATTTTATACAACTTAGAATGGCAAACAAGCTGACGTTCCACCTGATGGAAAGTAGTAACCGTCGCCTATAGACATTAGCAGTACCATGGATATATCAGAATATACTATGTACTGTTTCGCCCATGATATCCCTCATGCGTTGCCATTCCTGAGGACTCAGGTGTTATTTCTCTGTACCCAGTAAATTCACGCCATATCCCACCCTTCAAACCGAAACACAGCCATGCAAACACAGCTGCTTCACGGTTGAAACACGAAAGGGACAGAGGTACCCAAGCAATCAACTTTTGTACAATGTCTCCCTCTGGTGAGAGGAACTAAGTATAACTACATTAACCAACAAAATATAATTTTTTTTCGTCCATCGGTTGTCAATTCTTCGAGCTATGCTAACCAGCTAACCAGCCCATCGCTACTTAAGGTTGCTTTTACTTCGTTGGTGTCAGGTTCTGTTTTGGATATCTCCATTTCGGATTCTGTCACGCAAAGAAAATCCGAGAATAGTCCTCTCCATAGCTCGCTGAGTAATTTGAAGCTTTTGCATATGGGTAACTTAGCATATAGGATACTTCATAAACTAATTCACGTAGGTGAAGCCGCGGAGTATAGCTAGTTCGTCATATAGATACCAACAATCACAAGTGTTTTTATCTACTAACAATGTTCTTAATTTATTATTATCAGATTCAAGGTCAACGGTTAAACTAAGAAAGGAGAAAGGTGTCTGTTTCTTTTACTATTTATTACATCTATTTATTGAACAGCACGTTTCTTTTTGTTATCATACCTACAGTTTATACAATGGGATTGTTGATAATCTCCAACTTATATCTAATAATGGCAGCAGGTAGCTACTCGTACCTACACGAGTGTATGCTATTTATTTATTCTATCCCGATCTAATGGTCGGGATAGAATAAATAATAATAATAATAAGGGCTAATGCCCTTTTAGTTTATGACGCATTGTTCCAATTATAAAACATTGTTACAGGATCCTCACCATTTCAGCCATTACCTGTCCATTGCTAAATATAGACCACCCCAAATACTGCCATAAAAAATGAGGCGCTCTTTATGGCAGTTTACCATTAGAGGATTTTGCCAGTAGTTGCCATGCTTGACAGGCGAATTGGTAACCATACTCTGACTTTTGGTGAAATTAATTGTCGAGGGATGGGTAGCAGCGTTCCTGTTAAAACATTTTTAAAACCTAACTACGGTTGTTAATTTGCTTGCCAAGCGTGGCAACTACTGGCAAAACCTTCTTTTTCCAGTAGGCATATACCAATTGTGTTCAGCAGTGGACGATAGACAGCTAATTTGATGACCTATATAATATAAAACATAACCAACCTTTTTTTTAAGGGACAAATTTTTCCATGAAATAGAATTGTAGATAATATTAAACTTTTACATTGTTTACACATATTAATTCCTAATCGGGACTTAATGCTAAGTAATAAGATAAATGGCAAGTCTTGTAAATGGTATCTGATAATATCTGATTTTTATTGCTGACTTTTCGACGTAGATTGCAATGAAGAAATTAAGTGAACGACGTCTTCTTCTAGCATTAATATAAGTAGGTACCTGCAATCACATCGTGTTAATTCCTGATCGTAAATTTAAAATAAATATTCACCACGAATAGACATCGAGAGACAACAACATTTTTAGCTACCTACGAGTATGCTAACACTACAAGCACATAAAACTATAAGGTCGCAAATGACGCACAACGGCCCAAATGAGAGGCTAAGTGCGGAAAACAGAGTCTTTCTTACAAGGTCGCAAATGACCCATGCTCACAATATTTATAACTGGTTACTTGACTAAAATTAAAAACAAATTTTTGTTTAAATTAAAAAATTCTATTTTAAATACACTAACAGAATTTAACGCAATGAAAATCTGTCGTGAACATAACGTGGTGCAAACCACGTCGAATAAAGAAGTAGATTGTACCTACATACAATCTACTTGCAAATTTTTTTCATTATATTAAGTCTCCAAAGTGTATTTAAAATATGTGTAAACAACACGAAAGTTTAAAATTAAAAAATATACTAATCAACTAACCAGTGATATGAATTTCCGCAAAATAATACCTGATTCAATAAATTATTTCTAACTGCCTTATCTTAGTAATTTATAAGGCACAATGTCACAATGGCCTTACGCTCCAAAAGAGCCTAAAAATCAAAATGTAAATATTTACCAAGATAGTGCCTCCGCAGAAGTTTAGGAGCTTAAAAAAATATTTAATATTTTTCAACCACTATTTCTTCATGAAACATGTTCAGTTTATTTGGGAGAATACTACTTTAAAAGAATACTAAGGATTTTTACCTGCGTAACTGCCTTAATGGTTAAGACATTCTGTTTTTACGATTTGCAAATATTTATCTTGTGTACAATATGGTTATTATTTGTGGGCAGTAAATTGTGAGGTAACAAAACAATGGGGTTTCTATTGTTTACATTACATGTAATCCTACCGCAGTAGGAGTATTCATAGATAAACATGTTGGTTTTACAAACGTTTATTGTTCTTCTAATTATTATCTCATAGTATAATAGTGTACAAAAGAATTAGTTTGTAAATTACCAGTAGGAAACTTTGTACAAAAGTGATTTCCTCGGACACCTCTGTACCATTCGTGTTTCTACCGTGAAGCAGTTGTGTTTGCATGGCTGTGTTTCGGTTTGAAGGTTTGGGATGTAGCAGTGAATTTACAGGGTACAGACGAATAACACCTTCCTCAGGAATGATAACGCATGGGAGGTATCATGGGCGAAACAATATACTCTGTTATGTCCATGGTACTGCTTATGTCTACATTTGAGCTGTTGCCATTCTAAGATGCATAAAAAAACTATTTTTTTTTATAGTTTAGTTAACAATGAAATTTTGTACATTAGCATAGAACAGTCAACCGTAGGTCATGCTTGTTTCATTTTTCTCTACGTGGCATGATATGGGGTTTGTTGTCATTGTTGCTTGTTTGCCATTCTAAGTTACAAAAAAAATCAACAATTTTTTATAGTTAGTTAACAATGAAATTTTGTACATTAGCATGGAGTAGTCAACCGTAGGCCATGCTTGTTTATTTTTTCTCCACGTGGCATGATATGGGGTCTATGGTTATTTATTTCATACTGATGGTCCACTTGATGGAAAGTGTTAACTGTTGCCTATAGACATAAGCAGTACCATGGAC